GTTTCTACACCTATTGAACCTAATGTCAAGCTTACACCTATGGATGGCTCTCCCCTTTTTGATCCTACTCGTTATCGGCAATTGGTTGGTAGTCTGGTTTATTTTACCACAACACGCCATGATATAGTATATGCAATTCACATTGTTAGTTAGTTTATGGCTACTCCTCGCTCCACTCATTATCCAACAATACTTCACATTATTTGCTATGTTAAGGGAACATTATTTCATGGACTCCATTTTTCTATCAACTCCTTCCTTGTGCTTCATGCTTACTCTAATGCTAATTGGGCTAGTGATCTTTCTGATCGTAGATCTACCACTAGTTATTGCCTTTTCCTTGGTAATTCTCTTATCTTTTGGTGAAGTAAAAAACAAACTATTCCATCTCGCTTTATTACTAAAGCTGAGTATAAAGCTCTCAATGATACCACATCAGAACTTCTTTCATTACGATGGCTTCTTGAAGATTTGGGCATTCCTCAACCTTCTTCTATTGATTTATATTGTGATAATCAAATTGCTATGTATATTGCTCATAATGATGCCTTCTATGAACGCACTAAGCACATTGAGGTTGATTATCACTTTGTTCGCCATCATGTTGCACAAGAAACTGTTCATTTGGTTTTCATTGGCTCTGTTGATCAACCAGCAAACCTTTTTACCAAGGCTCATTTTCTTTGACGCTTTCATACTCTTCTTTCCAAACTCAAGTTGGTTTTATTACAACCACCTTGAGTTTGAGGGGGGATGTTATGATATGAACACAATTATATTTAGAATTATTGTAAACATTTTATATTTTAAAATATTCTTTTTGTATATTTTATACTTTAGAATTTTTTTCTTTGTAAACACCTATATATAGGTCATTGTACATGCAGTATTATTAAAAAAAAACAATAAACCTTTCTTCAAATTATTCTTCTTCTTTTCTGTTTCCAACAAGGATTGTCAAATGTTTTTGGCCTTGTTTTGGACATATGGGGGCTTATTAAGGATTTACCACATTCATCACTCTATTAGTTTTTTATTTGATATTCATACATATACACTTATATATGTGTAGATTCATGATATGTTGAAAATTTACATTATATTCAATAATAAGTATTGAAAAACAAAGAAAGAATCGTATTAAAGCATAAATTCAATTATTAACTCATCCTTTTCTTAAATTCAAATCACTATTTTTGTTCGAATGCTTCCTTTTAGTTGATATTATAGTTAAAAGTAAATTTGAGGATAACGAAAGCATATTGCTCTTCCCAAATAGGCAAACGGAAAAAATTCTGTGTTTTCGAAGTCCAAATTTTTTCAATTGATGGACAAAATTTTCAATTGATGGACAAAAATCTGAAACATTATTTTTAATTGATAATAGATAAAGATATATAGAATATTTGAGAATGAATGAATAGAGGAAAGAGGATAAATGCTTTTTGTACAACCTTTTTGTCTTACTTTTTTGTACAATCTTATCTGTCATTAAAATGATTAATTCTTTTAATTTATATGGGATCCATTATATTGAACACATCCATTTATTTAATAACATGTAAATATTGTATAAAAAGGTGGGACAAAAAGGTTGTCCCTATAACACCACTAGAGGAAAGAGTAATATATAGGGTAAAGAAATAAATATACAATATAAAATGGGAGAGTGGAATTGAGAAATGAAGTCTCAACAATAATTAATGACAAAAATTAATGAGAAGACTAAAGGTAAAAGAAAAATTAAATACTAGGAAAATAATGTTAATAATTTGTACTTTTTTATGTTTTAACTTAATAGATTTAAAACTATTAATTATCAAAAATAATACTTTAAGATATATTTACAATAAAATATTATTAAAAATTATAATTAATAGAAATCTTTAAAAAATACAAATTGTTTGAGTTTTGGTTTTTATTATTATAAAAAAAAAAAAAAAAAAAAACATTCTCTTGACAAAACAAAAGTGCTCTCAACTCAAAAGCCTCAAAGCCTGAACCGAACACTTAAAACTAATAGAGTGTCTTGTACGATATTTGCCAGAATTAGTGCTTGATGCACTCTTTCTCTTTACCATTTCCTAGTAATTTCTAAATATGTTCAACAATACTTGAACCTATATCTCCCATTTTATTTTCTTGCTAATATATCTACTCATTTTCTGTAATTTTTTCGTTTGTGTAGAAGATAATGCCTCTAGGGTTTTCATTATTGTAAAAGAGTATATATACATCTAGTATACTATAAAATACCTTAACTACCCATTGTACATAATCTATAATACATATACATTACCATCCCCCCTCAATTTGAGCGAGCATACAAAGCACGTTCAAATTAGCCCTTTGAGTATGAAATAAAGGCATAGAAAGAGCCGTAGTCAAGATATTTACATGCTGGAAATAGGAAGAAACATGCCGAACAAATAGAATCCCAGAAGCAATTGTCTCTCGCACAAAATGAATATCAATCTCAATATGCTTAGTCCTCTAATGCTGAACATGATTAATAAATAGATATATAGTACTAAGATTATCACAAAAGAGCATCAGGGCTGTAGGAAGAAAAGTATAAAGCTCAAAGAGTAACCGGTGAACCCATAAAACCTCAGCAGCAGCATTAGCAAGAGCACGATACTCAGCTTCTGCACTAGAACGAGCAACAGTGTGTTGTTTCTTAGATGACCAGGAAATAAGAGAATTACCTAGAAATAAGCAATAGCCAAAAATAGACCAACAAGTATCAATACAACCTGCCTAATCCGCATCAATAAACATATGCAAAGAAAGTAAAGAATGATGGTAGAGCTGTAAACCATAGTCCAGGGTGCCTTTCAAATATTGTAAGATCCATTTCACAGCCTGAAAATGAGAAGTAGTAGGCTTATGCATAAACTAACAAACTTGACTCACTATAAAAGCAATATCAGGCTAAGTAAAGGTGAGATACTAAAGAGCACCAACAATACTCCAATACAAAGAGGAGTCATGATACAAAGCACCACCATCAGTAGTTAATTTCAACTTCGAACTTAAAGGTGTGGAGGCTAGCTTACAATCACACATTCCACTTTTATCAAGCAAATCAGCAACATATTTAGATTGAGATAGGAGCAAACCAGTATCATTAAATTGAGCACTAATGCCAAGAAAATAATTCAGAGATCCCAAATCAGTCATCTAAAATTCAGACTTTAACAAAGAAATAATTTTACACAATAGAAGTGTAGACGAAGCAGTGAGAATAATATCATCCACATAAAAAAGAAGATAAGCCATCAAACCAGATTTACGGAACACAAATAAAGACCAATCTAATTTAGCGTGAACAAAGCCATAAGAGAGAAGAATAGAAGTAAACCTGTGAAACCATGCATGCAGAGCCTATTTCAAGCCATAAAGTGCTTTCTATAACTTACATAATATGGATAAGCTGAATCAACAAAACCAAAAGGCTGAGACATGTAAATAGTTTTAGACAAAGTACCGTTAAGAAGAGCATTCTTGACATTAAGCTGATGAATTGGCCAAGAACACATAATTGCAAGAGAAAGCACAGTCTAAATAGTAACAGGCTTGACAACAAGACTAAAAGTTCATCATAATCAATACTTGGCTATTGCGTGTAACCTTGAGCAACAATGCATGCCTTTAATCTCTCAACATTATCATCTGCTCTCTATTTAATGCAATAAACCCATTTCAACCCAACAATATTAGCATTAGAGGGACATGGAACCAAACTCCAACTGTTATTCCGAAGAAGAGCTGAAAATTCTTCTGCCATTGTAGTGCACCAGTCTGAATCTTTACTAGCTTCTTTAAAATTTCTTGGCTCCCTCAAAGCACAATCAGTAACAAGCAAAGAAGGTAACACATCGACTTTACAGGTGCCATCTTGGGTCCATGTGACCATGGAATGAGTTCTAGCACCATGAGTCATAGAATGATCAGAAGATGAAGGAATGGTGGCAACAGAGGAATTGACAACAAGAACTTCAGAAGCTTTAAGAAGAGACCGTGCAGCAATAAGGTCACCTACATGACTAGAAAGATCATGAGTAAATGGTAATGAAGTGGCAACAACCGGACTACGCGACACAGCAAGTGGAGAAGTAGCTGGCCCAAGTGGTGAATATGCAAGGGACTTGGATGTGTACGACAAAGTAGAAACAGGAATAGTTGAGGAATTAGGGACAACTGAAGATGGTACAGTGGAAGGACTAGCAAGTGGGACAAGTGGAGACTTAAGATGTGGTTGTATGGAAAGTGAGAGTACAGCATCTAAAAGGGGAAATGCATTACAAAAAGTAAATGGACGAGTAGAATTAGGATGGATAATATTAGGAAAATTATAAGGAAATGAATTCTTAGCAAACACAACATCTCGCGAGATGATGATTTTATTAGTAGTTAAATCAAGAGAATGATATCCCTTGTGATGTGTAGGATACCCAAGAAAAAGGCATAAAGAGGAATGAGGGGCAAGTTTGTGAAAGGTTGTGGCTGAAAGATTAGGATAGCATGCACATCCAAAGATCCGCAAATAATCATGTTTAGGCACAACACCAAAAGCACTTCATGTGCTGTAGAAAATTGTAACCTAGTTAAAGGTAAAATATTTAAAAGATGAACAGCCATATAAAGGGCCTCCACCCAAAATGTACCAAGTAAGTTTGCTTGAAAAAGTAACGAGCGAACCATTTTCATAATTGTTCGATTCATTCTCTCGACTTTCCCATTTTGTTGGGGAGTCGAGGGACATAAAAAGCGAAGATGAATTCTGTGTGATTGAAAATATTGAGCAAAATCTAAATTACCAAATTCACGACCATTATCACATTGTAAAGCCTCAATCCAAGCACCAAATTGTGTGGAAACATAAGCAGAAAATTTAAGAAAAGATTAAAACACCTAAGACTTAGAATGCAAAGGATAGATCCATAAATAATGACTAAAATCATCCAAGAACAATAAATAATAGTTGATACCACTAAATGAAACAGTTAAAGAAGTCCAAACATCAGAATGGACTAATTCAAAAGGTGCTAAAGTAACAGAACTAGACTCAGACAAGGGAAGACGAACATGCTTCCCTAATTGACATGCATGACACAAATCAAAAGAGACACTCTTGTTTTGGGAAGAAAGAAGACCACGCCTAAAAAGTTGTTGAAGAGAAGCAGAACCCGAATGACCAAGACGATGATGCCACACATCAATAGATGTAACAATAGAATTAACTTCAGGAAAACCTTGGGAAAAGCAGCTAGACAGGGAATAAAGGCCATTTGAACTATTGCAACGAAGGAAGACGTTTTTCGTCTTGATGTCCTTTATAAAAAAACCAGAAGAATCAAAATCAATACTACAATTATTATCATGAGTAAATTGATGAACTGACACAAGATTTTTAATAATTTGAGGTGAAACTAAAACATTATTTAAACGAAATCGACAACTAAGAGAAGAAAGAACAATATAACTCGACATAGTGATAGGCAACAATTGGCCACTACCAACTTGAACAAAATCAAAATTGTATTCAAATAACTTTTGAAGTAAAGAACTAGAATTGTTGGTGACATGAGTAGACGCACTTGAGTCTATATACCAATTCAGATCAGAAGAAGAAACAACCAATGTTTGATGGGTAGAGGGAGATACCGTTGTGGGCCGAATGGTGAGTAATGGACAATCACAAGCTTGATGGTTAAACTGCTAATACCACTGACAAGAAATGGGGGTGTGATGGCTACCACCTGCTGGAATAGACGATGTAGGAAGAAGAGAAGGCAAAGCCTGAGAAGGCGCAACATTGTGGCTACCAAAAAAATAACCACTAGAAAAATCAAAACCATGCCCAAAGCCTACAGGGATACCATGTTGGCGAGGACCTCCATAAGAACAACCATAATTAGCCCAAAAATAGCAACAACTTCCTCTACGACTAGACCATCGTCCTCCCCGATTAGAATTAGCCAAATAATAAAGCTATGGATAATTACTAGAAAAAGTGTCCCAAGATGCAGTAGACGAAACAGTTGGTGTTGGTAGGTTGGAGTAGCATTTAGATTATGAGAGAGGTGAAGCAATTGTGGGTTCCTAAGAGAAATCACAAGCTGAGTGTCTCAATTTGCTGCTTCACGGAAGAGAGTGACTTCTTTGAGCAACAAAAGAAAGTGTAGTTCTAGGAAACTAGGAAAGGGGTTTTGTTGAGGTATGGTTCTTTTAACAACACTATATTCTGAATCAAGACTAGCAAGCACTTGAAACACCAAATCATGATCTGGTTTTGGATGTCCAACAACATGCAACTTATCAACCAATCCTTTCACAAACTATAGATAGCTAAGCACAAATTGTCCAAGTTGCTTACCCATAGAAGAGTACTCTTGTTGAAGAAACAAAGTATAGGCAGCCAATTGATTCTGGTAAGCAACATGAATTGCATCCCATGCTTCTTTGACCAAAAGAGATCTCCCTAGTTGTATGATCTTCAATAACACTTCAGTAGTAATTATGGCTTGGATCTAAGACAGAACTTGATAATCGATTTGCATCCAAGTTCAAAGTTAGGACTTTCAGATGGAGCACATGGATTTGTGCCATCAATATGACCATATATAGCTTTGCTCTTCAAAATTGGAACCATTAACTCACACCAAATAATGAAATTATTGTGATTTAAAATCTTAGAAACAAAGTTCTTAATATTTGAGACTATAAAGACGAGATGTGAGAAAGTATTAAAGGCTATTGAATTGGTTGCAGCTGATGAAATAGGTAAGATGGGAAGGATAGGAGATGCTGAACCTGTCAAAGTAAAGATTAAAGACCATTGGAAACCACTAGAGATAGGAATTGGATTGAGTAAATTGGTGATTGAGGAATTAGGTATAGTAGGACTGTTGATTGTTGCAAAATGAATAAGGGCAGGCAACACAAACATAGGAGGAGGAGAGGAAATACATTCAGTAGACATGGGGAAAACACAAGACAGACGACACAAGAAACAAAGAAGAAAAAGAAAACCCTAGAAGAGGCTTGGTGCTGAACCTAGCTTTGATACCATGTAGAAGATAATGCCTCTAGGGCTTTCATTATTGTAAAAGAGTATATATACATGTGGTATACTATAAAATACCTTAACTACCCTTTGTACATAATCTATAATACATACACATTATCAGTTTGTTGCTTCTAGAAATGTTGTATGCTCATGAATTGCTATTTCTAGAGATGGTACGATGCTTCTGTCTTCAACTTCATGACTAGTTGAAGGCCTTCGCTGCTTTACGAAGAAAACAAACCTCAAATCTGTCTGGTTCGAGTTTGAAGCACAACACGACAGTTGGTGTTTGGCGAGGCTTCAACAGCACCCATCATTTCAATGTTATCAATTCGCCTTCCTTCAGTTAATTCACTTTGCCTAAAGGTATGAGAGGTCGGATCTTTCCGGTCAAAGTCTCTTAACACTTTAAGGATTCGTTTCCAGGCCGAAACTTCAGAGTCGCACAAGACATCCCTTTGCTTATATAGAAAATCCGCCACAGAGATGATGAGAGCCAACGTTGCAGCAACCCCAGTAATGAGAAAGAGGCCCCAGAAGCTCCCAAGATCCAGTCTATTAGAAGAGACCAAGGTACTGGAATCAGTACAATGTTTTTTCAACCATTTATTTTCAATCTCTCTCATTTTATCACTTTCAGTGACATTTAAAATTGCCCTTGAAACATCTGCTACAAGAGGAGAACCTTTTGGGAAAACCTAAAAATAAAAAGTTTCACACACCAAAAGAAGAAGAAAAAAAAAATCAGCATGATATATGGGTGAGAGGACAGGAGAGCTATTGAAGAACTCACAAACTCACAAATCCAAAGCCACCAGTCTTAATAGTTGGTCCAACCGTAGTGTATTTCATGCAGTATTTTTCAGGAAGATGGTTCCAGTAAGGTGTTTCGCCGAATGCGGCTGCGATTCCACCGTTCGTGCTTCCCTTGTTAAAAAGTTCAAAAACAACGTCGACCGAATTATATGTCTTCACATTGGTCGAATTGAAATTCAACTGCTGGATGAATCCTTGGGTGAAGGAGAGATTGGGGAACGCAACATTTTCCCCACTCTTTAATAGTTCTTTAACATCTGTTACTGTCGGCTGCAGCTGTTTAACTGTTAAAAGAGAAGTTAAACTGGCCGTGTAGCTTTGCGTAAGAATGAGTACCACAAAGCACCATATTATCACCACAAACCTCGACAAATTGCTCACCACTCTCTCCCCTGAAAACAAAATTTAGAATTAGCTTTCATTACAATGGGCTTTGAACCTTAAGCTCAAACTCTCTCTCTCGAGTGAGCTTTGCACTATATTGGAAACCAAAGAGCTGGAACATCTTATTAGATCATTACGATGGGCAAAGACCATGGTTGTGAAAGAGAACCAGAGGCTTGTTCCAACTTGATGTGAAGGTGGTCCACGAAAATCTTCACTGATTCTGTGTTCAAGGACCCAGATGACAAACCCGATAAAGACAAAGAAGCAAGCGCTCGTGACCCAGAGGTCACCTGTCAAAGGCTCCAAGAACACCAAGGCATTCCTATTTGGGTTGTTTTTAATTGGAACCACCATCACCACATCGGACTCTATATAAGGCAATGTGAAGTCGATGTATAGTGACCTATTTGCCACAATAGAAATGTCTCCAACCGCCGCATCATATTTCTGTTCACCATAGTTAGTACCAAATTATAAGTGCAAAATTTCATCCTTCTTTCAGTCATACTAGCTGCTATTAGTACAATAATAGCTAACATAATATATGTTTAGAAAAATCTAAAATGATAATACCAGCAACAACAAAAGTAAAATTGACAGTATAGATATATTTTTAGATAAATTGTGAAAGTTTTTATTTACCTAATAATAGCAACTAAGGTTTTGTCAATACTTTTTACACACTTTTTCATATAACACGTTATTTAAAAATGTAAATATTTATTTGATATCCTTCTCACTGAAGGCTCAAAGCATGAGAAGTGGTTGGTATGCGCTGTGTTTCATTAAAATATTTTTAGTAGCAGAGAC